GAGTGTTCCTATGTATCGTACACGCTTAGATTTCCGTTGCGATTAATTTAATTTCAGGTACCATTGTATGCACTCGTGTTCTAATTACTGCGGAAAATTACGTAAGGTGTGTAGGACAAGTGTAGCTTGGAAGGAAATAAAAATGCAGCTCGTTCAGTATGAAAGTGGTTACCGTTGCAACACGCTTTGCTTCGAATTTGACGAACGAACGTTACCGTTCATTTCACCGGGAGAGGTAATTAGAGAAGATTGGACGTTCCGAGGTGCTAGAGTTTGTTTGGCGGTAAAACTAAATTCGAGATAATTAGCCCGGTACACCGTTTCGGGAACTTCCGGTGAACCCAGGGCCGCAATCCCTTTGCAACTTCCGAACCGGACCCATTCGGGCGAAGCGACACCCCGCGGATCTTAAAAGGTCCAATAAAAGTTCGTAATTGCTTTCAGCTGGCTGACGTCGCAGCCAGCAGCACCTCCGCAACGACGATCTCCACGATACCAGCGGCATCGGTCACCTCGAAGCAATCTTCGAACTTGACTCTACCGCCGACAGCGGCCAGCTTACCTGTCGTGGCCACGGAATCTCCAATCATATCCTTCGGCAGACAGTACGTAATGGCACTGTCCGAATTGATTACTTGCTCGAACTGTTGCGACCTTTTCTCTTCCCGCGTCTCTCCATTCCGGAGACGTGCTTCTGGTGTCCTTTACCTACCCTTTAACCGCGGCTCGCCGGTTTCATGACGTTCCCTTCGTGTAACAACGAGGAGAATCTTCAACGGCTGACGTACTTAATTCGTTCCTCGACGTTTTCCAATTTCGAGTGACATTACACTTGCCATTGGAGCATCAACGAGCTTTAAGCGATCGGACAATGGAACTACGGTTACGTCAAATTTTCTGTCTAAAGGAAACGGATCATATTTAATGCTTCGGTTATTTCGAAACGATACTCGACATTCGGGTATCTAGACATCCGAAAGTTTCAAATTTCAATACCCGAAAGCACGAAAACTATAATTCTCGAGAACTAAAACTTTCAAACTTCTACGATGATTCCCATTTTCTGTAAAGTATCTACAAGTGATCTCTCCGTGTTTAGAATCATTGCAGCCTTATTTCAGTATTCGAATTCTTTAATGGATACTCAGAAAATTCTTCCCCGGCACGATTTCCAGCACACTTTCCCCAGCCGAGTACCAATCAGCGAAGTTCACGGTCCCCGGCTCCTATTACGTCACCAGCGGGATGAAGAACAAGTTGCAACATTCGTTCCTCAATTATCTGCTGGGACAGCAAGGAAAGACCACGCTGAAAAGCGGCGACCACAACCCGTTACTGAACTACGCGGCCCTCCCGGGCATGGTGAACAACAGTTTGAACAGGATCCAGAGCCCGGCGTTGAACTACGTGCTCCCGGACGAGCCGAAGTCCGCGTTAAAGGACAACTTGCAGAGTTCCCTGCTGAACTATCTGCTGCAACAGGACTCGGGCCGCGGCCTGTCCATTCAAGAATCTTCGCTGCCCGAAACTGTGAGTTACTTGCCAGTGAGTAACACGCTGCCCGAGAGACCGAAGCTCTCGCTGCCAGCCAGCATCCCGATGACGACATTGTCAACGGTTTCCCGGCCGCTGCAGTCTATAAATTACGTTCCCACGACGATACCCAGGCTCTCCGCCTTCATGACACAAGACTCGCCGACGTCGACCACTCTTCCCTTAGGTATGGCTCATTTATACGAACCGATAAAGTTCCGGTCATATCGTTCGAAGCTATTCGTCGAGAGGCAGCGCGGCGCGGCGCGGCGCGGCAGGATCCTATCTCGTGAAAAATTTAATCTTTTATCTGCTCTTATTTCCCGGCGCTCTCCCGCGAACTGTGTCAGACCGCCGTCGAGTTTATTGGCAGTCTCCGTCTCGACCCTCGTCGGAGGGGTCGGTTATAATTTTCAAAATTCCATCCGGTGTTTCCAATCCCGATGGATTTTCCTTCAACAGCCACCACAAATGAAGTACGTATGCGGTCCACGATTCCGCTTCGCCGCCGCTCTCTTATATCGAATTCTGCTGGCGGAGTCTGCGGTAGCTTTTATGGGGTCCCTGACCGTTTCCATTTTCGGACTTTCGTACTGTTACTTAAACCTTCGAACTTCTCGTGAGTTTTTGAATATTAACTTCTCCTCGTTTCGAAATACTGGAGTTTTCAGTGCCGAAGGTTTGAATGCTCGGAAAATTTCGGAATATTTATTGCTCCAAATGTTTGAATTAGGTTTCCAGATACTGAAATTTTCGAACGTTCAATGTTCTAAATATTTAAACGTTCCGGTATTCGAAATGTTGAAATCATCGAAGCTTTAAACAGTAGGATATGCAAATATTCCGATTCCCAAATTCATACAATCCCACACACTCGAGCGTTCAAGTTTCAATCATATGAAATATTCGAACTTTCGCGTTCGCGAACGCTGAGACAACTAAATTCCCATTTTTCCGCATTTCGGAGCATTTAAATTTTCCCGGATTTCAGTCGTCGAAATGTTCAAACTTCCGCGGCAGAGAGCGAACAGTCAGTACGAACGGACATATTTTAAAACTTGCGAAACTCGACTAGCCGAAACACAGTACGAGTATTGAAACAATAAAATTTTAACCGCAGCTTCGTCTCTGGGCGTTTTCGGTGCGGGCGCAGCGTTGCCGTCGAACTTGGGGACGAGTATCCCGGAAAGTCAGTCCACGAGTATATTCAACAGTTATCCTGGAGGGCTGAGCGGCGGCATATCTGCGGGCATACCTGGCAGTATGTCAGCGGCCCTTCCCGGCAGCCTGCCCACTTTGAACTTAGGCCAGAATTTCCAACATGTAGGCCAGCTGCGTCAATTTGGAGCGGCAAGTAGTCAGCCGCTCTCCTACTCTACAGGTAATATCGATTAATTAAAGTAGAAACACATTACCGTCGCTATCCACTGTACACGTATCCGTGCGTGTCACGCATAGTGCTGTATAAATTTCAAACGAGCTTGCTGAACGTGATAGAATTACGTTTCCGGCTTGTTTATATCCGCCTCGTATTGGATCTCCGATTCAAACGGGATTCGCTATACTTCAAGTATCAACGTCCGATTTGACTGATGCGGTTTTAAATGTTTTACGAGTACTCTGAAGGATAAAAGTTAATGCTTCGAATTCGAATTACGTTGTCGATGCTGTAAGTTCGAATCTTTTATAAATACTTTGAGTAATACCGATATGCTTGATACTGTGACATGTTTACTCTGTATGAGATAAGGTTCTAACCCTTTGCACTCGGAATTTCTTTTACATTTTTTCCTCGATAACTCGGTATTATTATATTTTATTTGAAATGCGTTTTAAAAAATAGATAATTTGTAGAGAACCTGTGAACGATTCCTCTTACTAATAATATTGAAAATAATAATATAATCTATTTGAAAAATATCTTGACAAAGACGCACACCTGTGAATAAAACTGATGTCGAATCATCGACATAGGAGCGCAAAGGATTAAACATTGACGTTTCGCAACGCTACATTCTAAAGTATTGCATAGCATTATATATTTTCGACATTTTAAAAGAAATTCAAGGCAGAGAATTCTGCGCTTCATTTAAACCGCAACTACTTGAGGCAATTACTCAGTTGCAATTTATTATTAACGAAAAGCAGTTTATTAACCCCTTGCACTCTAGAGGTGACTCTCACTCACCATATGATTTCATACAGTAAAACTATAAAATTTGATATTTAATATTATACTTCGTATAATGCAACAATTGGAGAAATATTGAAATAAAATAGCTTTGTCCCTCAATGTACATGTGATTTCTCTTCAAATGAGTTTCACAAAGTATCGTCTTCATCTCATCAGAAAATGTTAAAATATTTCTAAAAAAATACTTCCGAGTGCAAAGAATTAACTGTAACTACAACCACAGATTTGCAATTTATTTCCTTATCCACTTAACTCGAGTAGTTTAAGATTTCACGGAAATCTGGTCGGACTACCCGAAACTTACTCTATACGAAGCCCAATCTATTACTAGATTGCAGTAAAGTCTACTGAACGAAGCTCGGTAATAGAGACCGCCTCGTGTTCTCGAGTGCGCGTTGAATTTGATCCCATCTCTAGTGTCCAGGATCGTTCAGTATTCGTCCGTAGCGTGTAACCCGCGTAACGCGTGCGGTTCTGTGCAGGATTGCAGCTGCAGCTCGGTGGCTACGGCGGGATAGATTACGCCTTACGGTCGAGTAATCCTGCCCCACGGCCGCTGGAGCTCGGGATCGCGAAGGTGGGCTTAAGTTTGCCGGAATTACCGCGACACCAGCTTCCCACGTTCTCCAAGGTAAATTTTCAACGTGTAATTGCGCCTCTCTGCTATCGTGGCTGTTGCCAACAGCACCCCTGCATGTCGCGCAGCTGTTACTATTCGAGCCTCATGTTCCGAGCAATTTTCTTCCCGAAGAAACGTCCCGATGTTCCTTCAGCGTCATAGTAAACTTCATTAAGAACCGAATAACACGCTGCCAGTGACACCGGTAAGCTTACGGCTATCCTTTGCACGTTTTTTCTTCAGTCGCAGAAGACAGTAATAATTAAATCGTCTGATTTCACTCAAATTCAATTTTTATTTGTAGAATTTGAACATTGAAATTTGGATGCATGTAGTTTAGAGGAAAATATTATATTCTCGTCTAAAGTTAACCCTTTGCACTCGGGAGGTGACTTTCAGTTACCACTTGATTGGACACATGAAAACTATAAAATATGTTTAATGTTGAACTTTGTATAAAGTTAATATACTTGTGTCTTCCCTTCGAGTTAATTTCGAAGAGTATCGTATTCGCTTCGTCAATGTTAAATATTTCTAGTGAAAAATTTCCGAGTACAAAGGATTAAGCCAAAGTGAAAATTTGTCTTCAAATTTCTTCTGTTCCATTGAAAATATTTCGCCTAATTTCAAGCGATTCAATTCTGGATAATGAAATCCTCTGCGCGTTGTCTTACCTAAATTCAAACGTTGAAATTCAATGAAATAATTCCGTAGAGAAAGAACTGTCTTCTGAATGTTAACCTTCGCGAACAGAAAATTGGTTCTCCTAAAATTTCACTTGTATCGTCAACAGCTACTAAGAATAATTTAAGCTTCTAATTTTAAGCGACCTTTCCTGCACACCGCTGCACCGAGACGCGTACATCCTATTTCTGTGCATCTATGGCCGAAAGTGTTCAAGACATTCGCGCTTTTAGCGGATTGGCGGGGAGCCACGCGGTTCAGCCTCCGTTCCGAATTTCCCAATTTCCTCGGAAATTTATGGCTGTCTCGGTGTACGTGCCTTCCGGTCCGCATTGTTTTATGTATCGCGAAGTCCCCGAAAGTCGACCAGGGGATGAAAACTTCTTGAATAGGGCAAATACGTCGCGGGTTCGGCCGTGTATCAGAAGGGCGCTTCATTCGGGTTCAATGGCTGGCTTTCGGCACCCAAACTTCCGCCGGCATGGAAAATACGAATACTCGCACGGTGGAAGTTTGTTGTTCGAGGCTTTGTTCGATCGTGCTCCGCAGGAATTTTAAACGATACATTGATCGCAAGATTTCCATAGTTTAATGGAACGTTCCCCGCAGCTTCGGCCGCGGAAACTTTCTGTTGCACCGTTTGATACGATCCCATACGATCCTGCAATATCGCGGTCGAGAAAAGTTCCGGGACTTCGTTAGCGGCTCGCATATTAATCGGTAATGCACTGTAATTAACTGACGTTTCGAGTTCCGTTATCTGATAATTATTAACGAAATTACATAGTTCGCCGATGAGCTTCCCCTACTAAAACCGGCAGCTTGCTTTACTCTTAGGGTATTGATGCATGAATAAGAAAGTGAAGGATGAGGTGCACCTTCAACTTCCGGCAAGTTTCTTATTTGCATTAATTATGTCCCGGGAAGTTCGCGTCTACATACCGCCGGTGAAAATTTGACGACGAAGTAACGGGTTCGTTATTTGCGACGTGCCCTCGGCGATGGGACGTTATATCGTCGTCCATGCAATAGATTTCCCGTGTTTCATCCTTTAAACAATAGATTTCGAACGGCACTAAAACCATGGTAATTAGTCTCTATTGGCACGTTGCCAGTTTCAGGCGGGTAAGCTGCGATATGTAGAGGTGACAGCCTATTTACATAAGATTCTTGCAACTTTCTTGTTGTAGATGAGTCTGGAACATCCTATGTGGTAGAACGTCGATCCTGAACAACCTCAAGAACCACAGAATGTGTTTAACAAACTTCCAAAGTCGAGGATCTAGGTTAATGATACAGAGTTTATGGCTTAGCTGTACGCGTTGCTATATGTGTATTAATTCTAAGTGCGTGTATAATTTAATTTCTCACGAGGTAGAAATATAGTGTACTGTTACCATAAAGAAACGAATCGATTCGAAATATTCCTAGGCCACCGTCCCACATAGCTCGCCTCCTTTGTTTGCCAATTCCTGCGCTGATATCCATTACACTCTTCGATTTTCCTCTCGTCGTTCAATATTGACACTGACGTAATATTCCGCGTTTTATCGATATTGTTATTGACTTCCTTTCACATTTCTTTGAATACCTTTAGTCAGGATGTCTTGAATTAATCCTCTGCGTTTTACTTCGTTGTTATGTCATTTCATTACGAGGATCGGTAGACATGGTACGTTATGAACAACGTCAGACCATTTCAATATTAGAAAAGCTAATTGGAAGATCGATAAATGATTCCTCTTCGAAAGAAACTAATTTTGAAATTACCTTTCAAATATATATATCTGATATTGCATTAAGTAGGAACTGTAAATCATGATCAGACCATCCTTTTCCTATTCAGTATCAAATTTTTAAAATACCTAGATTCGTTTATTTAAAAAATAAATATTTAATTCTATACATCCAACTTATTTTTGTATAGAAGGAATTCTATTTTTCCAATCATCGGATGCAACACAGTATGTTTAACTGACATTATACCTAACATTATTCCTTGTATCCCGGCGCATCTCTAGTTAGGACAACGCTCATTAAGTTGCTGCATGCTTTCTTATTACGTCGAAATACCTACGGCCTATCTTTCCCCTGAGACCGCGGGCGACTGGCATTCCTTGCATTCTCAAGATACTTCCAAGCTCTTTTTATCGCTGCATCTACTTTCCTTTACCTCTTAACACACACCCAACCACATAACAACCATTTATTTTCAAACTCATAATTTCAAAAAAAATCACCAACGGTCGGACAGTCAAAATACATAATTCTCAAATCCGAATAAACGAAAATAAAATTCTTACTAAAAGCAAATATATTGTTCTCCAAAGAGAAATTATATCATTTTTATATGAAGCATAACTTTTAAAAATTAAACACCAGCTATCACGAGAATCATTTATGTTTTCGTAGGAAAGACAGACAGTATTAAGAACAAATATTGTTTATTACATATCATAGTTCTTACGACAGATTATTGCTCAGATATTCGCATTACTGAAAATATATCCCGACATCGATCGTATTGCCAATCAACGTGTTAATGTGCCGGCACGTCGACAGGAACAACGAATCACTACCACTTCCAGAAGTTTTAAGGTGCCCGTTGCTTCTTGACCGTTCCCGAAAGTCGACTCGACACGATCTCGTTGCAGATTGGATTCGGGTGTTCTCTGTGCTCGCCGGCCGTGACCATTGTCACTGCAAATTGCATTGACTCGTCCGACAGATATCCACGGAACGTACCGCCTACCGTTCGGTAGAGAACGCTCGCTGCTAACCCGTTTAATAGGTTATCCGGAAATTAATTGTTTGCCGCATAAGAAACGGGTTTTCTCTTTTAATCAAGTCGCCGGGGCACGTAGCTGCTTCTTTAATGTTTCTTTTTGCGCAAGCCGTTTCTTAATTGGATGGCATTCTCACAGAGAGTAATTGGAAAAGCGAGACGAATGGAAAAAAAAGAAGAAGTTGAAACTGAGAATGCTGAAGAAAGTTTCGAGTAACTTTTCGAGACGATTCGTCTTTTATTTGCGTTGATCGTCTCGTACGGCGCTGAGATAATCGTATAACGATACTCGGACGTTTGACGCTGTTCTCTTTATTAATCAACTAATTCGTCGCGCGTATTCACTACGGTTTCGAAAAATACCGTGTCGGCCATAAATTCCGTTCTGTTTTCTTTTCAATGTTTCCGCTTATATCGTGAAATATTGCGACGGAAGATATACGACGATCGAGCATACTTACCCCCGGAGAGGAATTTCCGAAATAAACTGTCAGCCGGTTAATTTATACTATGTTTTATTAATTTTAACAAGTGTCCGTGTGTTTAGTTTTGTCTCTGGATGATCGTGTCCGTGTCTCGCGTGTGAATA